TTTAGTAGTTTTACTAAGGGCACCCATCTCACATGAAATTGAACTATGTCAAATATTCTACCTGCCTTCCTGATATAAATTACTATACATTTGATATGGTAATTAATACTGAGACACTAATTTGGGCAAAAAGCACTAATGACTTGTTTAAGACTTGAATCTTAAAGCTGAGGACTTGCGACTCGACTTGCAACTCGACTTGCCTGTCTTGACTCAGGACTTGACTCAGGACTTGACTCAGGACTTGACTCAGGACTTGACTCAGGACTTGACTCAGGACTTGACTCAGGACTTGACTCAGGACTTGACTCAGGACTTGACTCAGGACTTGACTCCAAAGACTTGAGACTTACAAAACAATGACTTGGTCCCACCTCTGCCATTGACACTCCTAATTGAGATTATAGATAGAGTGTCAATGGTCCATTTGAGAGATAGGTGGCGGTAATGCACTTATAAGTCTGCGAGCCGCCGTAAAGCAAGAAGAAGAAGAAGACGAGTCACGTGCCGGCTGTTGAACGCGCTCAGGACAGTTCAGACATTGCAGTGCATCAGAGGTAAAAAACGATATAAATACTGTTCAGTTTCTTGCACAGACTGATTGTTTCGTGTCTTTACACATCAATGTATCGTCACGAGCCGCAGGGTTTAATTTGGTTTTGTTTGTGTATGTTTTATGACTCTCAAAGCCGTGATTCCCATTCACTTCCATTATATGACTGACAGACTGCAACGGTTTGACTTAAAAATCTTCGTTTGTGTTCTACTGAAGAAACAAAGTCACCTACATCTTGGATGTCCTGGGGGTAAGCAGATAAACATCACATTTTAATTTTTGGGTGAACTATCCCTTTAAGTGTTATCTGACATTATGAAGATGAATTTGTTCTGACAGTTTAACTCTGAGTTCTTGTCATATTTTATTACCATTTTCTAAACTATAGCGAATAAACTATGATAATGTGTGAAATGTTGAAGGTGTCTGAATAAATTTCAGTTTGACTGTAAACGTTTTTTTTTTCCTTTTACTTAAAAGTATCACAATTTCTACAAAAAATAGGCTACATTTCAACACTGATAATAATCAAATCAGTATATCAGAATAATTTCTGAAGGATCATGTGACACTGAAAACTGAAGAAATTATGTTGAAAATTCAGCTTTGCATCACAGGAATAAATTTCATTTTAAGATATATTTAAATATAAAACAGTTATTTTAAATATAAATAATATTTCACAATATTACAGTATTTTTTATAAAATAAATGCAGCCTTGCAAAATCTTACCGACCCCAAACGTCTGAATGGTAGTGTAGTGTGAAGGTTTTAACTGTTACCTTGTTGGACATGCGCTGGCAGTGCTGTTCAGTGGTGTGGATCAGCGTTTGGTCCAGATCCACCATCAGCACTAACTTCCTGTTCCTGTGAAGTCTTTGCTGGTCCTCTCGGCCAAGCTGCTCTGCTTGCTGCTCACAGAGACACAGGGACAAAACACACTGCGTTTCAACACCGGACACTGATGGACAAACCATTTTATGCACAACCACTTATTAAAGCCCCTTTGAAACCATCAAAAAAATACCAAACTCTCTGTATTTACATGCAAACGTCATTGTATAAAAGCAACACTCAAACAGGTAAAAAACCCAAAGTGTGTTAGATCATAATGCTTCCACGTATCATACTTAAATGTAAACTCTGCACGTTTTAAAATGATCGAAAATCGCTCTGTTTGTTTGAGCATCTTGACCAGCCCAACACAGCAATGCTGGCACAACCAAGAGTGTGCGTTTCGGACAGGACTATCTGTTTGCCTGACTAAGATGTGGCGTGTTTTAAACTACTGTCTGATGAATTACACGCGTTACTCATAAAGGTCCTCATTTACTTAACAGTGAAGTTCTTTTTCATTCTTCGCTTAGGAGAAAATTCAAAGCTTGAAATACAATTGCAGCAGTTTACGGTTAGTGATCATCTGAATTAAAATTAAATTAATATAGAAATATGCGCTGCAGGCTTTCCTCTCAATAGGGGTGTGTGATATTTATAGTCTATGATAATATCATAATTGCTGTTTTAATTATATGTGAGCTGACATTATCGAGTATGCCACTCACTTTGCAAAAAACAAAAACACACCTTGAGAGTCCAAAAGCATTCACTGGGTGATGAAGCCTATTAGAATACAGTTAGAATGCCCCTATAAAGCAAAAACTATCCGTGTATGAGTTTTGTTTTTTATACTCATAAGATATGACATAGTTAAATAAATAACATCACACAAGCAAGAGTGTCATGTGTTTAAAAGCCAGAGCAAAGTTTCCAAAAACGTTGCTTTGGCAAGCTGTTTTGAACTTCAGAAGCAAATTCAAAATGAAGTTCGTTTTGGCCTGATTTTGAATGAAATGACATCACACCAGTTCGTTCTTTGATTTCACTTGAAATATATAGGGGCCTCGCAATCCTCACAAGCGGCAAACTGCAGGCACTCACCTCAGAGCTGACCATCAGCTCGGGAACACTGTGCACCATGGAAACGGTCGCCGTAGAGATGGGCGCCTGCTGCTTGCCATTCTTGCTCTGTAGTCTGAAAACATAAGAGCATCTTCAGCACCATACAGTTACTCAAACACACTAGCAGAAATATCTCTAAGAGCCGAGACAAGTGAAAAACAGGGAAAAACAATAATAGCTTTTCTTGAATGGCTCTCGACAGACGTCTTTTCACTTTCTCATGTAAGAGGACAGAAATAATTCTGAACTGGAGACTGACAGCACAAAAGACAGATGGATATACTCACTGAGTTAAGTCCTGGCCACATTCGGCACACAAGCCCTTCATTACAACAGGATGGCTGCATTCTTCCACTTTTGCTATTACACTCCTGTTAAAAAGACAAAACAGTGTCGAAATAAACATAGCATTAATCAAATGCACTTCATCCATGTGCATAATGCTTGGGGAACAGTAGTCTATAAGCAGCATTATGGTGATATTTCAGGACTGGGAGAATGTATGCAAAGCTCTCCAAACTCCAGTGTAAGTGCAAACTAGGGCTGCGCAATTAGTCGAAAAACACGATTTCGAGCCTCCAACGATTATGAAAACACAATAATCGAGATGGAACGATTATTGCGCCCCATTCTGCCCCCTTTTTCCAGCGCTGTGCTTTCGTTCCTCCATAAAAGCCCAATTTCACGTGCAAATCAGTAAAATCATGCAACGTGACTTTTGCAAAATGGGACGTGCTTGATTTATAGAAATATATGTATTCATGTTTTTAAAAGCGTGAAAGAGAACTTGCGCTGCTCCTCAGGAAGATATATGCGCTCAGATACGGAACACAACACGGACGTGTATGGACCGCAAGCGCTGTGATTTGGCTGCTAGAACCCCTCCCTCCGTATGTATTTGAGTTTTGTGTGTGTTTATGTGCACTTTAATATATTTTAATGTTACACCTTCTTATATAAAATAAAACAAAGCAAAGAACAAGAGTTATCATTTATTATACTACTTTGCATTATACATCAGTAGTTGTCCGCAACAAAAAATGTTGATCTGCCGTGGTACAATTCCTTGTGCAGATTGAAAGTATGCCATCTTCTCCTGTTCCGTTGTGGTCTCCTTTTTGTAGTTTTAAATAATGATTTGATATTTATTTGCCGCCGTCACGGCTATAATGCTTCTCTGACGAGACGCTTCTTCTTCGGCTTTTGCTGTGGTACTGCGGGTTACACCAGCAACATGCCTGTGGACACTGCTGACTAGCGGTTTGCATGTGTACTGCACGTTGACGCGGACAACGACGCAGAAGTATAAATGAAAACTGATGCATAGCCTACGGCGTAAAGGCTACGGCGTAGGTCCGACGCAGAAGTATAAATCAGCCTTAAGCGGTGAAATACATGCAAAAATGTGTCAAAATGCGGCGCTTAATGATTATTAATGTATACCTTCGTCGGTCATGTAATAAATAAACGTAAAGAGTTGAGAATTAATATACGCGTGTAACGGTAAATTGGATCACATGCCCGTGGACACTGCTGACTAGCGGTTTGCATGTGTACTGCACGTTGACGTGGACAACGACGCAGAAGTATAAATGAAAACTGACGCATAGCCTACGGCGTAAAGGCTACAGCGTAGGTCCGACGCAGAAGTATAAATCAGCCTTAAGCGGTGAAATACATGCAAAAATGTGTCAAAATGCGGCGCTTAATGATTATTAATGTATACCTTCGTCGGTCATGTAATAAATAAACGTAAAGAGTTGAGAATTAATATACGCGTGTAACGGTAAATTGGATCCGTGCGGCTCTTAAAGTGACAGCGGGCTATTTTCCATATATTTGATATGTATCACTATCTTTAAATAAATCACTCATATAAAGTTTTGGTCATATGGCCCCCTCATAATCTTGTTAAATAATCGTGATTACAATATTGACCAAAATAATAGTGATTATGATTTTTACTAGGAATGTAACGATTCACTCAACTCACAATTCGATTCACGATTTTGATTTCACGATTCGATTCACGATTTTTTTTTTTTTACAAAATGAGATTTAAGACAAATTATAAATTAAATGTGTCCTTTTATTATTGCTTGGACAAAATACTGCATGTTTCTTTGTGAACAGTTTTGTGAAACTATGCATAAAAAATATCTGCATGAAACAGAAACAGCAGACGAGCTGAATGAGACGCAGATTCACTCTCTGCCAGCAGGTGGCGCTTAAAGCGTTTCCTTGGTTTCCGCTGTAAACAAAGCAGCACTGCACTTATGAACTTTAATATGCATTAGACAGAAGCAAGAGGAAAAGAAAAAATACCATCTAAACTTTTCTAAAGACAGTAAGTTCCCCTCAGAAGTACATTCATATAAACTCCTACCCCTAATTGAATCGATTTGTTTAGCATCTCAACCGATTTGAATCGTCACATATTTAAATCGATTTTCAACCGGCTCGCGGTTAATCGTTACATCCCTAATTTTTACCATAATCAAGCAGCCCTAGTGCAAACTGCCTTTTTTTGACAAACAAGCTCATTTTCAGTTGACAAACAAAACATTTGAGCAATTAGTAATGCATGCAGCACCCTCTACTGTTAAAGACTGCAAAAAAGCATGCATTAACGACACTGCCATTAAAATAACTGAGTAGTGCAGTTTTCTTTCCTCTGCTGACATATTTTCTAATGAAACACAGGTTCAGACATATTGAAGGGTTTGTCTCTTTTATTTTTTTAAACACCCAATAGGCATAATTTACATCACACCCATAATTTGCTAATTGCTAGTCGGTCGTAAACAGTATTGTAATGACAGCTCCCTGAATTGTGATGTTGAATTTTTGGTTAATAATATTGGTTTTGACCAACTATTTTATACATACATGCAGATGCTTTAAAGGGGTCATATGATGCGATTTCAAGTTTTCCTTTCTCTTTGGAGTGTTACAAGCTGATTGTGCATAGATAAGATCCCTGAAGTTGCAAAGACTAAAGTCTCAAACCCAAAGAGATATTCTTTATCAAAGTTAAGACTCTGCCACGCCCCCCTAAAACGGCTCGTTCTAACACGCCCCCACATATCTACCTCACTATGTGGAAATATTTGCATAACGCCGCCCAAATGTGCACGCAAAGAAAGAAGGCGTGGTTTCAGTAACCGCAGTTAGTGTTGAAGCAGCCATGTCAGGGAGACGCTGTTTGTTTCTAGGCGAAAGCAAAAGCACTTTATTTGGCCTTCCGGAAGTAGATGCATTTAGGAATCTTTAAGATTACTTACAACAGAACAGCAATGCATTTTATGGACGACCGTTTCGTGAACCTAGGAGAGGAGGTAATTCTGACTTTGCTATGACAATCTGGCGCTTCTGAATCAGCTACTGTTTTGTTATTAGTTTAAGTATTTGCTATTGACTGTTCAAATGCGGAGTTTTGCGCATCATGTGTGTGTGTGCGTGAGCGAGCGAGCGAAGCAGACTGCGCTTTTCGGAAGGAGGGACTTTGTAGAAACGAAGCGTTTGAGAGAGGCGGGGCATAGAGGACCTACAATAATGTACAGTATTTGAAAAATAATGTGTTTTTTGAACATTAAAGCATGTCAACATATTCTGTTACACCAAATACACAAAATAATTATCTTTAAAAAAAGCATCATATGACCCCTTTAATAACCCTCCTCTCACATTTCCAGAAGGAATTAGAGATCTTCTTCAAATCCATAAAAGTTATGCATCACAATAAGCCCTTAAGCTGTATAATCTTTTGGAGATCTAATTTGATGATTAACCCCCTTGTGTAAGATTTTAGATATACCTTATTGTTTATTTTATAGTTTTTTTTAAAGTAGTTTTGCTACTTGGATTTGTTGAAATAGTTTAGTGTTTATTGAAGCATGTTTATCATTCAAGCAATAATTTGTTTTTTTTTTAATGTCGTTCTAATGACATTCTTTTAATCTAATACAGGGTTTCTGCAGGTTTTATGAAGGTACTTTTAAGACTTTTAAAAAACATTTTAAAGGGATAGTTCACCCTAAAATTAAAATTACTCCATGATTTACTCAAGGCATCCTAGGTGTTATATGATTTTTTTCTTTCAGACGAATACAATCGGAGTTACATTAAAAAATGTCCTGACTCCGGTGAGAATATGCAAGTCTTGCGAGAACCAAGTTTTGTTTACAGCAAAGGAAAACCAGTCTCCTCTTGGCGTATATCAAAATCCTCCAATATTTTTCTTTACAAATCCTCGTTGTTGTACTTGTAATTCATGACCAGTGTTTTGTTTCGCTCTCTCCTCTGTGCTTCTGTGTTCGTCACTTCTCACCGGAGCTTACGCCTACGTCATCCACCAGAACGCCACTCTCTCGTGAACGCATGTACGACAGTTACCGGAAGCTAGAGATTACGGTTTATAAAGTTTTAAATAAGGATATTTTTCTTACAAAAATGCATCGATTCTCTTCAGGAGGCCTTTATTAACCCCCGGAGCTGTGTGGGACACTTTTTATGATGGATGGATGCACTTTTTTGGACTTCTATTGGACTCAACAGCCATTCACTGCCATTATAAAGCTTGGAAGAGCCAGGACATTTTTTTATATAACTCTGATTGTATTCGTCTGAAAGAAGAAATTCATATACACCTAGGATGGCTTGAGGGTGAGTAAATCATGGGGTAATTTTCATTTTTGGCGGAACTATCCCTTTAAGGTATAAATTGAATACAACTCCCAACAGATCTCCATTCATTTTTTTTATTAATTTTACAAAAAAAAAAACCTTAAGGCTTGAATCTTGAATAGCTCTGTTGTGGAAATAGCTTTTACTGTACCTTCTGAACACACTGCAAAAAAGTGATGTTTTTCATCAGTATTTTTGTCTTGTTTTCATGTGCAAATGTCCAAAATTTCTTAAATCAAGATGCACTTACTTCCTAGAACCAAAATTAAGTGAGTTTATGATTAAAACAAGAACAAATATCTGCCAATGTCAATGTAATCCAACTTAAATCAACTTAATTCAAAGGGAAAAAGCCCAAACCCCATTGACAGATATTTGTCTTTGTTTTATGCCTACATTTTGTTTTTTGTTTTGTTGTAATTTGCTCTTAAATTCAATGTGCATCTCAAGAAAATGTATCTTGATTTAAGGATGTTTCGATATTTGTATGGGGAACAAAAATCATTGCAGTGTATTCAACATTTAATGGCAAGACTTTATGAATTTAAGACTTTCTGCTCCTATTTAAGATCCTTTTAGGCTTTAATTTATGGAAGGCGAATTAACACTTTTTAAGACCTGCAATAAACATGGCCAAACATTCACAAAACTCTCATTTAAATATCGGAGGTCTTTAATCCCACAGCATTTCTGCAACAAACCTGCTGGTGGACAAGTAAACATTAGGGTATCATGTGGAAAGACGATAACGATTGAATCAGACACGCGTTCAACAACACGCCTTCTGTCCAAAGCCCCGCCCTCCACATACTTGTCAGCCAATCCGAAGCCAGCAAAGCACAGCGCACGAATTGATCAACATGCAGAGAGCGTTTCTGATTGGCTAAAAAGAGCGGGCCGCTCCCCCAACTCTAGTTTTGCTGTTAACAGAGCTTAAGGCTAATAGAGCTCATCTCTCAAAATACATTTCAGTGATATCTGGCTGGTAATATGAACACTTCATGTGTGATATTACAGCAACCACCTGCAACGCCTTCACATGCCATTAAACGTGTTTATTCCGGGCGCGTGGGAGTTAGCTTAGCGTGAGCACGCTCAGCTAATAAGCAAGTAACGGACAACGACTTGTCAGCCGTTAAAGCGCCGGTGAGAGCGCGTCTTACCCGGGCGCGATGACCTGTCCGAGCTGACAGCACAGCTCCCGCACAGCTCCAGCGCGGTCTGACTTCAGCTTCCTCTCGGCCGCTCTGGACTCGCTCTCGGCGGCGATTGGCGCGCAAACCGCGATGACGGAGTCGACGTTGACCAGAGCTCCGGGCTTCACCTTCCACTCGAGCAGCCGCAGCGGACGCTCTCCCGCAGGGCAGCGGACCTCCGTCACCCGCGCCGCGGGGCCCTCCGCTGCCGCTCCACCGCCGGAGTCCGCGGGCTCCGCCATCAGCGCTTTAAAGCGCACCAAGCGTTCGATGAGAGTTAATGAAAGGAGTAAAAACAACAACACTGAGGCGCGCAGCGATGAAAATGAGCTGTAATGCAGGACAGGCTGAGGCGCAGGTTCACTCTTCCCGCCCGTAAACAGGAAACACAAGGCTGCAGCACGAGCGCGAGTCGTTCCACTTCCGGGAGACTTCTTCTTCTTCTTTTAAATTTAATGGCGGTTGGCAAACCAACTTAAATGGTGCATTCCCGCCACCTACTGGATAGGAGTGTGGAGCGCATAATGATTGGAAGTTTGAGAACTATAGCCAAAAACAAAACAAAAATACAACGCCAATTATTCCCGCTTTATTTACTACAACTGTATCCTAAATTCAATTGATCAGTCTTGCTTCTTTTAAGAAAATAATTAATTCATGAAATATTCTTGATTGCTTTGGGCCATTTCCTAACAGAACCTGAAGTGACAAATTATTTATTCCGAATGATCCTAAAGCTTGAATTAGTTGAAATCTTGCTCAGCGCTCCAGTCACAATCCAGCTGTCGCCAACCGCAAAACAGCTACCACATGCACCTCGGTCAGCGGATCAAGCCGTCCATCTTCCGGGAGACGTTAATAACGCTCTTCATTTAAAATACAAATATCAGAGTACAATCTGTAGTTCATAATAATAAAAATAACAATTATATACTTAAACAGTAATAATAATCATATTTTATATAAATATTTAAAAAGTTGTAAAAAAATAATAATAATAATACTAAATATTTACAGTCACATCAAACTGGAAACTCTGGTCAGTGGGTATATTTTCACTGTTTTTGACAAGATTGGGTTTCAAATCTTGAATTTCAGAGAGGAAAATGCATCTGTTATATATTTCATCTTTACGTGTACGCATTTCGCAGACTCTTCTATACAAATATGGCTGTTTTTTCTGTATTAGCTTTTTGCAATTATTATCAGAAGAAGAGAAACACGTGACATTATATCGACATATGGCATGCAACAGTACATTAGAACAAAACTCTCTGAACGTGTGCGGGGGACACGCAATTGAGACGTTAAAAATAATAATAATAAATAAAATACATGAAAACAATCAAATAAGTTAATTACATTTAATACAATTTTAATCTTTTACCTCTTTGTTTGTTTCAGATGGGGGAGGCTTGCAGTGCTTTGTACTTTTAATCATAAATAGACTATATAGACGTGTTGCCATATTGCATAGTTGTGATAATCCAAATATTATTAATATTCTCAAACACTGGAGGGAGTAACACCAAAGTAAAAAATAAAAATAAATGTTGTCAAGCCTTGAATCTCTATACAAATTCATCTCACTTACGTTTCATTTTTTAATTTAAGTTTATTTTAGTTTACGTTTATATTATTTATGTATGTTTGTAGTTGTTTTTATTATATTTAATTCGTTCATTTGCTTGTTTGCATACTTATTTAGTTATTTATTTATTATGTAATTCTCCAACTTGCCTCGCTTTAATTATTTACTGTCACTTTAATTAAAGACACACACTCCGCATTTCACATAAACATGTTTTTATTTTGTTTTTGTTTTTCTGTATATTAATATTATTACTTAGTTGTTTATCGAATTCGATTGCTCAAGTTATTCCAAAAGCACAATAATATTTGGATGTGCTGTTAGAGGGGAGCACCGTAGATATGCATAGCTAGGTTCCCCATTAGCAACTGCCGTCCGCCATATTGGAACGGTCACCGCAGGTCACATGATCCTTCAGAAACCAGTATATATGCTGATTTGATGTGACACTGAAGACTGGAGTAATGATGCTGAAAAAATGTCAGATTTGATAACGGCAAAATAAATTACATTTCGAAATATATAAAAGTAGAAAACAATTATTTTAAATTGTAATAATATTTCACAATATTAGTTTTACTGTATTTCTGATCAAATAAATGCAGCCTTGGTGAACATAAAAGATTTCTTTCAAAAATAAGAATGTTACAGACCCCAAAGTTAATATAAATTAACCTTAACATAAATTCTGAAGATGCAAGTATGTTTTTATACATCTGAATTAATATATATCGTGTATGAATGAATATATATATATATATATACACACACACATATATATATATATATATATCGTGTGTGTGTGTGTGTGTTTGTGTGCGTGTTTGTGTGTATTTGTTGGTGTGTGTGTTTGTTTGTGTGTTTGTGTGTGTGTGTGTGTGTGTGTGTGTGTATTTATTTATATATAATATAATATATAATGGCTATGTATAAGTTATGTATTAAACACCTAAATATATTTTATATATTATAAAATAATGTTTGGATATAGTACAAAAATTCATTCAGTAATTTGATGTTATCATCTCATTGGTTTGTCCCAGAATACTTCCTGTTCAGTGAGATGCTGCTGCAGCGGCTGATCAACATGTGGGATCTGGGTAACATCCTGACGCGAGAGGAGACGTCCTACATGTGTGACATGGCCGTGAACCGCTTTGATAAGATCATGCAGGTGCTGAAGTCCATGCTGCTGGTCTTCAGGAACATCAACACCGTCTGCTGCATCAGCATCACTCTGGGAGCTCCAGTCGACCGCTACTTCATCATGGCCAAGTGGTAGGAGACGTGAAACGACTAGTACATGGTTCCAGTTCACCACATTTGTAGAGGCTCCACTGACTGAACACTGACTAATAACTTCTGCCCCATGTACATTTTTGTGTTTATAGTTAAGGTAAGAATTGTGCTGCTGCTCACCCTTCATCATTTGAGTGAAGTGTGTGTGTTTCAGTGCTGTGAGGGGACGGGGCAGAGCTCAGGCCGACGACACCAGGATGCTGTCCACACTGTCTGTCTTCCACTGGCTCTGCTCCTTCTGGGAAAGCATCACGTTTGAATTCACTTTAAGGTGAGGACACTAATCAGATTCATTTTTTCCCCCTAAATTCCATTTTATTTCTTCCCAAATACTGTTTTTTTTTTCATTCTAATTTTTGTGAATTTTGTTTAGATGGTTAAATAAAATTTTACTTATTAAAAAGTCTTATGCAATTTAACAACCTATCAAAAGTTTAACAAAAAATACATTTTTAGGGCCCTAAAAAAATCTGTTTCCATTTAATTTTTCACAAATTCAGTGTCGTGTTCAAAATTTCCATTTTAATGGTTTAATTCAATTTTAATCAGAAAAATGTCTAATCAACAGAACACATGAAACATTTTAATCATTTACTTAAAATAATAGGGCCCTATGATATTTTTTATTTATACATTTTTTCAGAAATTCTATGTTGTACTTTTTTTTTTTCTGGATTTATGATTTAATGCACATTTATCATCAAAACTTGTGGTAAACAAATGAAGGCTTGAAATGGCAACAATTTAATTAATTTTTAAAATGTAAATAAAAACAATTATTTTTTTTCAGAAAACAGTGCTTTGCTGTTAAAATTAAATAAAATTGAGATATTCCTTAAAAAATAAAGTTTTAACATTTTCTTTATTATTAGTTTGAGATGTACATTCTAAAGTACAATAGTGATATATTTGTCTAAATGTCTAAATAAATTTGTCTAAATAAAGTTAAATGGAACGTTCACTTTTTCTGGATTGTAGTGTAGCTCTTTGAGTTTCTGTGTATCTTGACGAGTTTATATCAGATGAAGTGATGGAATGCTGGTCAAATTCCGTGACATTCCATTTTTATGACTGGATTCTGGATTTTCAGCATTGCAGAAATCATAGGGCCCTGTGACACTCATCTCAACAGCAGATTAAACTAACATTTAAACATGAATCAAGCTTGCGGTTTTAGCCCGTTCTTGCCTTGCATGTGTGTAATATGCGTGGAATGGTCTCTCACACGTCTTTTTAATCAGTCATTGTGTTCCTCCAGGTCAGAGAAGGTGCTCATGAGCGTGACTCGCTCTCTGCTGCAGTCTCATCATTCACGCTGGAGCAGGACGTGTATCAGTATCTGAAGTGAAGCGCTGTCCTCTGAGCCTGTGGTTTTACTCATGCTGCGTGTGGCTTTGTGCTCAGAGCTTGAGCTTCCAGGAACCTCTCACAGTCTCTCTCTCCCCCCGTCTGTGTTGCTTTTCTCTGAAATATGTGCTGGAGAGCTGCATTTCACAGAAAGCCGAGCACGTTTTAATTGAGCTTTTATCAATAATGATATTCTGGCATTTAAAAGACTTGTTTCATTCAAGACACTGAGCTACTTTAGTTTCTTCTGTAGGCCTCAGTTTGAAACACTAAAATGATTCATGATGATCATTTCATGGTGGCAATAATAATAATATTGCAATGAAGATGCTAGAAACCTTTTTCCTGGTTATATTTAAAAATTGTGCCATTTTATTTTGTATTTTTATGGATTTCAGTGATTATTATGCAGTAGGAAACATTTATACACTTCTTATTGTCAGAATTGGATGTGTAATCTCCAATGCAATTATTCTGAATATAAATCATTTTATGTTTCATTTGTTCTGAGTCCAAACTCTCCAGGCTCTCTTTTCTCCTGAAATCTGTTACGTTTGAAATGCTTAAAGTCAGCATGGACCAAAAATTAATCAATTTTGTAAATCAAACTTATTGAGAACAATTCAGCCATGTATTTGTGTTTTTTTGTGGCCTCATAATGTTTAGTCAAACTGTCAAAGCTTGATCTTGTGCAATATCAGACTTTCCTCTGGTGACGTATGTCAGACTTCTCCAATAATTTATCTGCTTAACCCTGCTCCTCCATTATCGGCTGTGAGCTCATATTCATTGAGTGCAACAGCCACATCTCAAAATCCAATCAACAACCAAAGGATAATCTCCGCCCTACAGGTTTTTTTTTTCTTTTTCAATAAACTTACACTCGCTTAAATCAAAATACAGAAGAAACGGTCTGTCACTATTTTATGCAGAAAACAAACAAGAAAAACCAAACCATGTCTCTCTCACGCTTCCCTTATGAGCACTGCCAAAACAATGACATGGTTTATGGATTACAGTGTTATTCTTGTGACAGTTCAGTGTTTTGATCAGGAAAGCGTGAGAGAAAACGGCTTCTCTCTAGTTGTGTCCTGCTGCACTCAGAGAACGATCTGTGACAGACGTAAAGAATAATGACACTGAATGCATTAGAGTATCACCATGTTTGTTCTGGATGTCAACATGCAATACACATTCAATATTTTTTTTTACAAAATATTCTAAGAAATGTAACACCCTTTATTGCATTTCCTTCTTACTGTCAACAAAAAAACAGCATGACTTTGTAGTTTCTACATTTTCTATCAAAACATTGAAATACAAAACGGAGGATCATCAGGTGAGCAAATACACCGAGTGCGAGCAGCAGCTCTTCAGAAGTGAGCAGTTACTCTCTCAACCTCCAGAAGATCATCCAAGATCTGCAACAAACAGAAAAGCAGAAACGCTCATGAACAGGAAGATTTCAGCTGTCACAGCAGGTCAGCATTTCTCCAAAGGTAATTAATGTGATATCTGATTAAAGTAGAATTAAACAACAGTTCTGGTCCACTCATTTGATTGGTCAAGAGGAATACAGCGAGTGCTGACATTTATGCTGCCTTCACATGCCATGAGAGTTATGAATACTGAGTTTCCTAGCTATGGTTATTATTGTTAACTAAAACTAGAAAAAAAATTAAAAATTCCTTACTAATAATACGTTAATTGAAATACAATAATGTGTATATATATATATATATATATATATATACTGTATGTTTATA